GGCTGCATTTCGGGGAGTCTCGTTTATATCTATGGGTAGGTTTAGTTACAACAGGTAAAGCTTGCAGCCTGGGAGGCCTGCCCTGGCCTCTCCTGGGTGTTGCTTCCACCGCTCACCAGTGCTGGCACGGATGGAGGCTGAGGGTGGTTTGTAACACGGAGCCGTAACCTGCGGTGGTTGCACAGCGGTGGGTGCTGCGGCCCTGGGGTCTAAACCTACCTGCAGAGGTGGTGATGGCTGTTGGTGTGGGCAGCGCTGATCCGTGCTGCCTGTCCGGGACAGGAGCGTGCTGACTGCACAGGAAGGCTGCGTTAGAAATTACCGGTAGAGCATGGATTGTGAGACCTGCTCTCTTCCAGCTTCCCCTCTTCATACAGAGATACAGAACAGCAGAATGGAGCCTTGTCCTCCCCAAAGAAAAAGCAGCACTCCATGGTGTCTTTACTTATTTTTCTCCTCAGAGTATGTGGTGCAGTTGATCCCCAGGTGTCACGAGAAACTTCTCAAGGGCAATTAAAGTGAGTCAGACTGTGGGAGCATTTGTTGAGCTGAACCTTAAATTTCTCTTTCTACCCAGCTGAGTCAGAAGAACTGCTTAGTGAAGAATCTGAAGAGGTTTCAGAAGCAGTTAGAAAGAGAAGCAGGAAAGCTTGAGGCAACAAAATGTGCCTTTATTCCGAAGACCTTCAAAATGCCTTCAGAGTACTATTTGGTTTTGGAAGAATTTCGCAAGCATCCTGGCACCGCTTGGATTCTGAAACCGGTAAGTATGTGCTCTCCCAAGGAAAGTGAGACAGAGATGAATGGGTGCCTTCGTTCTGCAGAGGGAGAGGAAAATGTGCAGGAAATCCCCAGGAAGAACTGGGCATAGCAAGGTGGCTAGGAGCAGCAGTGCTCCTGGCCAGTTTTCTGGTCAACACGTACTACCAAAACACTTCTTGTGCAATAATTTATTTCAGCAGTCAACAGACAGCTCAGTTTATTTGTAGAGCCAAATTTAACTCAATGGAGAAGGAATAAAGTGTGGAGTTCTTGTGTGGAGGAACAGATTGTGCTCCCAGGGGTTCTCGCCATGGGGTTATGGCCAAGTTCATGCTCTGAAGTCTTTCAGTTCAGCTGCAGGTGTGCAAGGTGTGTGTTCAGGGCAGCTGTCTAATTTGGCTTCTGGTTAAGCAGAGTTCTAGGGCAGCCCCTAAAGCTGGAGCTATGGCAACATCTGTCTGGTTTTAGGGAAATCCCACTGCGTTAGATGTCAGCCCATGTAAGTCCAGCCAACTTACGGAGTGGACTTCCATCCTGAGAATGTGAAGAGACTACGGGAGACTCCATGAGCATCCTGGAGTGCAAGTTGGGGTGGATTTGGTTGGCATTAGCTTCTCTCTGCTCTGCAGTTAGAGACCTGAAGGGTAGCCTCATGCTCTGAATCACGTTTGTCCCCCCAAACATATAGCTACCAGGAGCTGTGCTGAACGCAGCAGCTTCCACTTCAGCCAGTGTCCTGGGGACCAAGGAAAAGTTGTGTTTCCGTTAGAAATTATGACAATACAACGTGACGCTGAGAAACGCCTTGCTTCTGCCAGATGATTCAAGCCATTTAACATCATGAGTATCGTGCCGTGGTGCATAATTAAAAATAGAGCCATCTGTGAGCCCTGCGAGCGAGCAGTCGCTTTGCTTTGCGCAGCAGGTCTGGCGAGGGGGCTGGGACGGGAGGATTCGCTTTACCCTGTGAGTCAGGCCCATCGGTAAGGGCACACTTGTGAGAAGTGAATGGGAGGTAATTATGTAAACTAATGTGAATTACAGCCAGGAGGATAGCAGCTAGTGATTATCTAACTCTACAAATGGGAACGTGTTAATTGGCAACAAAAAACCTTATATTAAGCTCATTTTATGCCCACAACCTCAATTAACATGGTAAATAACCAGAACACAGTAAACAAGGATGTACGAAAAGCCTGTGATTACTGAGATTATACCAACAACTTTAATTAATAGCTTGTGGCTGACCTCAAAAGTTTCGGACAAGTAAAAATAAACTCCATGTTACTCCTTCTGTTGGTCTGCGCTCTTGAGCAGCCCCATCTTGTGACATGTCGGGTTGCCTGCTCCCACACTCAGGTACGGCAGCAGGTCAGGACGTGCGCAGTGCCGCATCCTGGGGCTGCGGAAGTCTGGACCTCCCTTGGCAGGTGCCCTGGGGAGCCTCGCTTCTCGGGGGGCTCAGCTGGGCCGCTCGTCACCCGCTTCTAACACGTCGTGCAGCCTAGGCTGTCTTCAGGATTGTCCTGCTCTTGCTTGCCATAGTTCTCTGACACCTTTCATGACTTTGCTGTTTAATTAAGTTCTTCTATAACCTACGCAAATTTAAAACGTGACTTAACAAAATTCCTGACAACATATGTTGCGTTACTTGTATTGCTGCAAGCATGTGACAGAGTTTGTTTATTTGGTACTGTGGAACTTCCCCATAGGCTGGCTGCCCGCTCTGCGCTTTCCTCCAGGAATCCTCCTAACACTTGCCAATCTGAGCTTTTTGCACAAGAGGGCTGTTGTTGGATCCCCCTGCCCGCATAACCTTAAATAAATGTGCTTGCATGCAAACAGATGATGAATCGGGTTATGCAGGGCTTCTACACTAAAATTCTGGGAAAGAGCAGGAAATGCTCATGTTAAAGCCAGTAACTCTGCTTTTCCATCTGTATGTTGGCAGGTCACAAGGTGAAGGAATGTTCCTGTTCTGAAAACTGAAGGCTATCGTTGATTGAAGAAGGTGAGAATGCCTCTCTGTCTTCTCCTTGGGGAATACCCAACAGGCATTATGGTTTTTTTGCTCTTATTTCATCCTCTCCTTCTGCTGGTGACTTGTTATGTTCTCCTGCGCCTGTCTCGTGTACTACTTCACCATTCCCCAGGGCAACAACAAGGTTTCTTACCGTGGCTTTTCCCAAATGGTCAGATGCTTTATCTGGGATCTGACTTCTTACGCTTTGTGTGCATGTTTATATATAAACTTCTGGTCTTGGGTAGCTCTAACACTAGGCAGCAATATCAGCAACTGGGTTATATTATACATTTCTCCGCACTTCATAGGTTGAAAGTTTGACTTGAGAGTTTATGTTCTAGTGCCATCTGTAAGTGCAAACCACCGTTGTTATGCTAGAAATGGATTTCTTTGCCTTAACACCCAGTTGCTCCTTTCCTCTTCTCCCAGTACATCCCACTGAAGGCCTGGTTATACAGAGGTGGATTTGCTTGCTTTTCTGATACACGATTTACTCTGAATAGCAGAGATGATCGCTGTGTCCTACCTGTCTGTGTGTGCCATAAAGAAGGGTAACAAAAGGAATGTACAGTGCTGCTGCTTGGTATTAGATGCATCAGATGAACCTTGTCACTTCTGACTCCTGCAAACACCTACAGGATTCGGCTGTCCTGTCGCTCCTGCTGTCACCCTGTCTCTCTCCTGTCTTTTTTCATTGGAAAACTGGTGCCACCAGATCACTGGAAATGTCAGTTTGACAAATCGGCTGGGACCAAAGCTGAAATGTCAGTCCTGGTTTTATTGTTCGTGGTTGAATGTTGGCAGCCTTTCTTCTTCCTCAGCTTCACGGAATGTGAGGACAGGGTGATTTGTGGGAGAGAACTACTTGATTTCCTAGGTGTCACACTTGCTACTGGATTGAGTTTGATAGCTTTCATTTGATTAACACATCTTCCCAAAAGGTATCCCACCTCAATTTGATGGCTTAGGAGACAGGAAAATCCATCACTTCTCTCCGTAAAAGTTCAGCAGAGTTCATGCTTGCTCTGAATGGCCAAAAGCCTTTCCAGAGTGAGGGTACAGCAAGCTGCCTCGGGTGAAAGCTCACTGAGGTTTGGAGACACGGTGACAGGAAGAGTGACAGGAAGAGCTTCATGCCAGCCGTGAGGTACAGGACTCGCTCAGGCCAGTCACTCTTTCATTTTCTAGGTACCACTCTTGATTACTTCTGATTTTCAATTTTTTTTCCTGCAATTCTCAGTGAGATATTACCGTGCAGTATTGGATTTAAGCTCGGGTGGCTGAAGCCTGTGATTACAGATAAGGAAGATAAGTAATTGGCACTGGGGCAGAAGAAGACTATTTAGAGTGAGAATTCTGTATCTGCTTGTTCAGTGTCTGTCTTTGATCCTTATCTCTATTTCATTCCAGATCTTTGTCTCACAAATGTGGCAGTGCAAAAGACCGCACCTGATGATGATCCCGGGAAGGTGAGGGATGCGCCCTGCTGCAGACTCTTCCCCCGCTGCCTGCCGTCGGGGCTCTTCTGGCAGATGCAAGCGCGCTGACCTCATCCTGCCAGCTGCCACGCCGTGGCCCTGCGCCGCAGCCACTTAACCGTGCTGCCGTGTCTCCTGACACCCGTAAGTGTGACTTTGTTGATAGCAGCTTTAGGAGAGAGGCTGGGCAAGCGTTCTGCTTTAACGTTGGTTTGCAGCTGTCTGCGCATCTATAAGGCTGATCTTTTTGACTTTAAACCTAATAACTTTCTGGTTAGCGCTCTTCTGAGATATAGTTATCGTATAGCTTAGCCCTTCGCTTCTAAGACCTCAGCGGTACAAGAAGGTTAACATTGCTGCACGCAAGTGTCACTGTTAAGCTTCCTCTCTCAAGAGGTGGCAGCTGAGAGAGAGGGAAAAAAAATTTAAATGGGATGTCAGATTCCTCATGAATCTGAGATGAAGGTCGGTGCTTGAGAGTAATGGAGGATGGTGTTGAAATTCCCATTTTATGGGCTGCTCGCTTCTATAAATCTCTCTTTGTATGGAAAGGAGGATCTTTGCAGTACTCTGAGAGAGATGATGATGATGATTGCTGTTAGGGAACTTCTGATGGGGACCTGGGGACGTTTTTTCCTATAGCTGTACAGTAGTCAAGGCTGAGGAGTTTAACTGTGTTGTGGGGCTGGTGGCCCCTACCTTCTGCTCTCTGGCTCTTTACTAAGAATTCTTGCTGGGCTGTGGAGACTACAGGGTGATGATTGAAAAAGATCATGTGGACTAAATATGTAGTCATCTCTTGGGAACAGCTTAGCGTGGTTGTGTTTTGATGCCTCAGGGCTGTAAGTGGGTGAGTCAGCAGCTCGGACAGCACACGACCGCCACGCATCAGGCAGGGTCGGTGGAAGTTCTCTTTGTGGTTACGGACAACGCTTTCATCACAGCCTCGAGTGTTCAGAAGGTGATTATCAGTGACAAATGCTGCTTTGAGCTCTACAGCTATGACATCCTGATCTGTCAGGATCTGAAACTGTAAAGGTGTTAATAAACATACAAGGGGTTATAGCATCAGGCCAGCTGCTTTCCCTGGGACAGGGCTGTCTCGTGATGCTTCTGCATTGTGTAGGTAGGTGCAGGCTGGCTGAGAGTGAGCCAGTCTGAAACTGCAAGTGAAACATAGAGAGGTTTGAACTGTTTTACGTGAAGGGAGCTGCTGTCTGGAAGGATACAGCTGCTTTTGCTCAGGGTATCAGAGTTTATTAGCTGGGTGCAGCCCCCTGTAACTTTGTCTATAGGATCTCTAGCGCTGTGTTGGGAAACCCTGCCAATTTGGCTATTTCTGGTATCACAGCACTTGCCAGAGGTGGAGGGTTACCATCATTTATTCTCCTGCTTATGTGTATTACAGCAGTGCCCTGTCGGCACTGATAAACCTCCAGCCGGTGCTGTTTAGCTGCTAGCACTAAACATAACCCCTGTCTGTGGTACACTGGCTAAAAGGCAGACCCCAACTGAAAGAGGTCCCTCCTGCTAATAGTGGAGAAAAGGACTCCACAGGAGTTGAGGGTATTTAAAAAAAAGCAACAAAAAACCCCCCCTTTAAAACATAATTTGACTCTAGATTTTTTTTTTTTAAATATAGCTTTTCTCACTGGCTAAATGAAAAATTTGTATCATTAAAGTTCAGCTGAAATTCTCAGAAATTATCTGCTACGAACGCAACCCAAGTATTGCAACAGCAGGAACCCGAGAGTGCAACCGACTTGTCATTACAGGAGTTGAGAAAAACAGAAACAGCAAATAGTACTTCAGAAATGACAAGCAAATAGGCTTATTATTCTTTCAGCCTTAATCATGTAAAGTGCAAGCAGTACCATAGGTAAGGAAATTTCCCTTAGATATGATTTATGTTGACGGTGCTCTCCTACCAAATGTCTTCTCGAATTTATTTTTTTTAAGTCTTCCCTCTAACAATACATGGTAGCTGGGATACCTGTTACAGCCCTGTGTCCTGTGAGCATCAGTCCAACATTTCACATGGTGCTGCTGAGGACAGCTTTTTTTCAAATGAGCAAATAAATGCAGGTCAGCTGTGGTCCTGGATAGCTCTAATTTGCACAATCTACCCTGGTCAGAGCCTCAAAACAAATTACTGCTTAGGCAGCTTGCACATAAAGAGCCGGAGTAACTTCGGTTGGTCAGGAAACAAATGAATCGGAATGAAAGTCCTCGGTGTCGTCACAGTGCTCAGATATCGCTGCTGTGCTAGGAAACTGTTCCCAGGAGCCATCCGCATTCTGCCAGTAAAAAAGGGTTAATGCCCATTCTGTGAATTCTCCTCAGCATTTACTGCTTCAGCTAGACTTTGGTTTTCACTTGTGTGTCTTTCTGGAAGCTAGAGGGATTTTTTTTTTTTTTTTTTTTCTTTAGTACCATCGAGAACAGGAATAGAAACTTTGCAATAAGCTCAGAATGTTCTTTGGCTCAGCGCATGGGAAAGAGATTTAGAGTTGGATTTCCTATTGCTTCACACTTACTCCTGCCTGCTAGCAGGGTAATGATTTTTGTGGACAGGCATTTCTCTTAAATGAACTGTTGGCAAAACTGCCTGTTTCTCCCTAATTTGCTGCTGTTGTATCTCCTCAGCTGGCTTCTGGAGGTGAATGCTTCACCTTCCCTCACTGCCAGGAGCCAGAAAGACTGTGAACTCAAGTGTCATCTACTCAAAGACACACTTCATACTGTGGACAGGGAAGGCAGGCAGGCAAAGGTGTTTATTACCTTCTAAAGGTTTTTATTAAAATGTTTGGAACGGATGGTCTGGTTCCATGTCTGTCTTGGCAACTGATCAGAATACTCTAACCTTTATAGTGATTAAATGATGAATTCCCAGCAACACAGCAAAGTAAGCAGTCACACTGCCACTTCAGAGGGGGAAAACAAAGCAGCACAGGGCTGCAAAGGGAAAGGAGTCTGTGTCAGAGCTGGGACTTGCACAAGAGCTCTCTTTCAGAGGCCTTTCTGCATTGTGCCTCCCACACTTACCGCTTCTGGAGCGCTCTGTTCCAGGCAGCTTGTCTTGCAGCATTTTGCCATCGACTTTACAACTGTGCTAACCTCAGATATTAATAGTAGAAAGATGTCCACTGCTTTCAGCTGTTCAGCTTTGTCTCTGATTGTCTGGGAGCTTATTCCTGTGCGCAGACAGATAATTGTCATTGCTCAGGTACTTCAGTATGTGTATTTGATGTCGTAAGCTGACAGGGAAGGAGAAGTGTGTCGGAGGCTTTGACCTGCTACGGACCGATGGCCCTGTCAGCAGAGGGGGAGACCTGGGTAGTCCGGCGAATGAGAACATCACGGCAAACACACATTTAGGTGCGTACTCATCCAGCGCTGGCAGGATGCCCTGCTCGCGTCCCTAAGCTAGCTAGCCGCACATCAGCGAGAGGAGAGCACACACCTTTCACTCGAGAATAAAAGAACGAGAACGGGCTTGTGGCTTTTACGGGATTAAGAGACCAAACGCTTTCCAAAAGTGAATGTAAGTGACCAGGCTGCAGGAGCACTGTTGAAAACAAGCACTTAAATGTAGTGGGAACAGTTTTGTTCGTAGTCCTGCTTTTCAAGTGTTTAGTCACAGCAGAGTTCTTCATCTGCCAGCTTTTGCTGCAAAAACTGCTCTGCAGTCACTGCGGTGGCTGTTTACCAGGCTCTCTCCTGAGGCTGGTTGTGTGTTTTACTGTTGGGAAGTAGTACTCAGATTCTCAAGTTGTGCTTCCAAGCGGCTGACATGCATTGTACCTTTATTTTGCAGTACGCAGCTCAGTGTGCCAGCAATTGTCTCTGGCTGTAGTTTCTAACTAACAAAACACGAGTACAGCTTCACCTGGAAGTGGGACGTTACCTCACCTCTACAGGACGGACGAGTAAGGTGATGTGTAACTCCCCTGTTAACGTTTTCATTGCAGGCTGCCATGATGACAGGAAGAAACAACTGAAGCAGCTTTTCAGGAATTTTCCTGCACAGCAGAAAGCGTAATGCTGATCCCAGGCTTGGGATGGGAGAGATCACCATGGACGAAGTTCACGCTCTCTTCCTCATAGCGGGAAGCAGCCGGGCCCACTTCTCTCTGGACACTGCTGGCTCAGCACAAGACGCCGGCCTTCTTGCTTCTGAAGGTTTCCCAGCTTGGAAGTGGCAGTGGCCTTGAGTGAAATATTTTATAATGGCTGACACAAGGCATAAGGGATGCTGGCTTCTCGGCTGTCTGTCTGCACTCACAGAGCTTAGTTGTGTACCGTGTAAGAAAATAAAGGGGCTAAACACACTCTGCACAGCAAAAACAAAGGTTTTAGGGAAGGCAGGCACCTGATCCTCCTACTGCTACTACTATGGAAACATGTCAGAGCAGAAAACCTGTTGCCATGATACTGTAAAAATAACCTCGCCATCACATGTTATGGAGACGTTGACTGGCTGTACAACACAGGTTATGTAAAAGTGCGGCTGTAACACAGGGACTTGGCGCTGCGTACTACCGCTCGTGTCCCAGAGAGATGCAATTTTCTGAAAAAGGTGCAGGCGAGACAGTTCAGGTAATAAGTCGATGTTATTTTTAATCTGTGTATCTGAAACTTGAGCGTGAAGCGAACAGCCTCGCTTCTTGCAGTTGTACAATCAGGGTACGTGGCATTAGCTACAGAATTTTGAAACTTAGATCAAGCAATGGTAGTTGGCCTTTTAGATTTAAAGAAATCGCACCTCAGTTTTAAGGTGTCTGAAACAGAGTATTTTCAGAACTCTGCGTAATTTGAAGGGTGCGTGGAACTGGACAAGGGCTGCCTGGAGGAGTCACCTCTGGCCTGTCTGGGAGCCAGGAAAATGGTGATGCTGTGGTTAATGTTCCGCACGGCTGGGCAGAAGCTGTGGAAGGGAAGAGAGCGAGGGACCAGGCCCGGCTCTGTGTTAGGCGTGCGAGGTTTGACAGAACGGATGAGCTACCTTGAGAGCCAGAGAAACAAGGACAGCTGCATGTAAAATTTTAAAATTCTAACCAGAAATAGCTTTATGGAAGTTCAAAAGAAGAAAGGGATTGGCAGGACCTGGACACTTTCCTGTACATGGGGGGAAATCAAACTCCCTGTAGTCCATTACTAATTATGATTAATTTTTTTTAAAAAATCTTACTGTCTTAACCAAGTTGTGCTGGGGTAGCAAGTTCAGACTAAGGAATGTAGTGTAGAAGACAATAAATGTTAAAACCTTTGAAGAAACCATTACTGGTTAAATCTGTTGTCCTTTGCTAGGAGACAGGCTCATTGACTATTCCTGCTCAGCCCTCTTCAGGATGCTTTTTTTAACTGTACATACATTTTATCCCTTCATCTAGTTTGGAAAGCCTCGTTTCTGTGGTTTCTTGCCTTCCAGCTTAACAGCAGAAGATGTTTTCCCAGCAAGACTAAAAGGAGGCTGCCTCCTCCTGTCCCTCCCTACACATCTTGAAGAGATTCCTGACGTGCTTCAGATGTATAGTTTGCCTTTGTTTTAATACCGCAGGCGCGCACAACTCCTCTTCTGTGCTTCGGGCACACTGTGGATTCCCAATTCCTCCTACTCCCATTCCCACCACGACAATGAACCAGCTCTGCAGCCGAACTCCAGAAGCGCTCACCCAGAAACCCAACAAGGAACACAGACACATGGAGTTAGGAATGCCCCACTGCTCTCATTTTAATAATCCCACTTCCATCCCAGCCACGGGCGTTTGCCCATGGCTGTGTCCCAGCCCATGCCTCTGCCACCCGGGCTGCAGCGAGGAGCAGGAAGGGTTCATGATCCAAGGAATCTGCAGTGTCGTAGCTGAGGAGCCAAACGCTTCCCAGCGACCTCACCTGAGGCGGGCTCCGGGCACACTGATGTCCTCCTGCAAACCCCAAAAGCTGCAGCTGTTGCAGTGTCAGCTCCACAGGTGACAGCCCGAAAATGCACCATGACCATGGCATGGCTACCTCAGCCCTCCAGGATGCGATTGATTAATTTCATTTCCTCAGCGGTCATGGGGTTCAGGTTAAATCCCTTCAGCTCAGCTTTACCTGAGAGAACACACAGAAAAATCAGGATTTTGCTACAAAAGAAGTGAAGCAGTCCACATGAAACTCTAGAGGGGCTGCGGGGAGGGCAGGGACAGCCCTGGCAGCTGATGCGGGGCCACACTGGCGTGACGTGGGAGCCCGTTCAGCGTGCTGGTGGGCGACAGCTCCGCACCGGGAGCTGGACGATTCTGCTGGAGCAGGGAAGGAATTGCAAAGCCAGTGGGAAAGTGGCTGCAAGAACACACAGAGCTCAGGAGTTTCTGGACCCTCCCGACACGTGACATCTGCTGCCAGATACTGAGAAGGTTCCAGAATGGGAGCGTTTACCTTGAGCCTCGAAGAGGCGGTTGACCTTCACGCGCAGCTCTTTCCGGAGGTTGTTTATCTCCTCATCCAGATGTTCCTGGTCTGAGACAAGTGGGACAGGGGTGAGGAGGACTGCGGGCTCCGGGCTGAAGGTTGTCCCTCCTGCGGGACGCTCAGTGTGGAAGCGCAGGCCCGGGGGCAGGGGAGGGCTCTTCCCCAGCTGCCGCAGGGTCCCCGCCTGCCCTCCAGGCTGAGCCCCAGGTCGCTTCGTGCCCGAATACGTTCCCCAGGGCGCTGCCTGGGATGGCTGAGCAATGGCGACGGCCAGAATCTGCCTGTGACTGCCGGCAGGAGGTTTTGGGCACTTTGAAGCCCAGCGCTGGACAGAACCCTGGCTTGTGTCAGGAATAGTGTGGCCAGCAGGAGCAGGGCAGGGATTGGCCCCCTGTGCTCGGCACTGGTGAGGCCGCACCTGGAATGCTGTGTCCAGTTTTGGGCCCCTCACTACAAGAAGGACATTGGGGTGCTGGAGCGTGTCCAGAGAAGGGCAGCGGAGCTGGGGAAGGGTCTGGAGCACAGGGCTGGTGGGGAGCGGCTGAGGGAGCTGGGGGTGTTCAGCCTGGAGAAGAGGAGGCTGAGGGGAGACCTGATCGCTCTCTGCAGCTCGTGACAGGAGTGGGCAGTGAGGGGGGTGTTGGGCTCTTCTCCCAAGTAACCAGCGGTAGGATGAGAGGAAATGGCCTCAAGCTGCACCAGGGGAG